GAGAAACCAGCAAGACCACCTCCAACAACAATGGCGCGCTTGCTGACACCAGTGCGGCCCTCAGCGAGATCAGACAGTGCCACAGGCTTGCATCCTAAGGCAGCTCTTAACTAGATCTTTACCGGTGAGACGGCCAAAGACCACACAGTCAAGAAGAGAGTTACCACCCAAACGGTTGTTGCCGTGAACACCTCCCATGAGCTCACCGGCGGCATAGAGGCCGCGGATGGGCTTACCCTCCTTGTCGAGAACATGACCGGTAGTATCGATCTTCAAACCACCCATGCAGTAGTGAACGAGAGGAGTGACGATGGCAACATCGAACTCGTCATCCATCTTGTAGTTGTAGTTCTTGAAGAACTTCTTTCCCCACTCATCCCAAGTCTTTCCAGACGGATAGGCATCATAAGGACCATTGTCAGGATCGGAAGTCTGCTTGTCACCAACCTCAATGTAGCTCTTGAAGGTCTGCTCGAGAGTGGAGGGGGCGATACCCATCTCCTTGGCGAGATCATAACCACTCTTGAAGTGCTTCATGACACCCCGGCCCTCGTAATGCTCAACATGCCAGTGAATATCGTTGGCAGCGGCGGAGTTGAGGACGAGGCGGAAAGGTCCCTTGTTGGCGAACATCCTGTTGGAGACGTAATCACGACGGCCGAGCTCATTGGAGAAACGCTTTCCATCGGCATCGAGAAGAAGACCACCAACACCACGGAGAGCCTCAGCAGCGAGGAACTTGACCTTGCAGTCGGGATCCTTAGGGTTAACAAGACCAGTAGGATGGACCTGTACCCACTCGAGATCGACAGTGTCGGCACCAGCGGCCATACCCATCTTGATTCCATCACCAGTGCAGTGCTCGCCATTAGTAGTGGACAGGTTAAGAAGATCGGGGCGATACTTGGCGAGAAGACCGTCCTTGGAGAAATCGGCACCGAAGCCACCAGTGGCGAGGATAACGGGTCCAAAGAGAGAGTAACCCTTGCCAGCCTTCTCGTATGGACACAATCACGGCACCCTCATCGTCCTTGATAGATCGGTGACACGAGCCTTGT